AAATATATATATATATATGTATATATATATATATATATATATATATACATGTAAATAAAATATTTATGATATAAATTATCTATTAGAAACGATGGGTTTGGGGTGCCTGGGTAGCTCAGTTGGTTGGGCATCACACTCTTGATTTGAGCTCTGGTCATGATCTCTGGGTTATGAGGTCACATGTGGAGTCTACTTGGGATTCTCTCTCTCCCCCTGCCCTCCGCTCCCCCACCCCAACTCTCTCTCAATCTCTCTCCCTCTAAATTAAAACAACAACAAAAACAGGAATAAAGAAAAAAAAAAGGTGGGTTCATTAAAGAATCTCTTTCTCTCTCTCTTTTTTTTTGTTACCTGTGCTGGAGGCACTAATTCCAACTCGGAAGCTGACTCAGAGTTCAGGGCGCTTTTCCCTCCACTTAGCTCTGGTTGAGATCTGTGCTCTGAGGACCTATAGGGGATAAATAAAGGAGATTAATATATACCGAGAAACAAACTCAACTAGAAAACCAGTCAAGAAACCGAGTTAATTTGGATCTTTGAGAGCCATGATAATAAAGCTCTCATCAGAATTTTGATGAGATAACTTGAAAAAGATAACTTTTATATAATTTTATTACAATGACCACTTTTGAAATTTGGGTGGCTGCAATGTGCTAGGTGTAATTATCTCTGATTTAGAATTTGGTTCAATTATTTACAAACAGTAAATAAATACAATCCCAGTTTTGTTACTAACAGTTCTGCTTTCTTAACAGTATTGTGTTTTGGGGAGGGGAGCATCTCACAAAGTGTCCTTGGTGTGATTTGACCCTTATATAGAACCTGAAAAGTCATAATAAATGGAGATGTGCAAGGGGAAATAGGAGAATGAGAGAGGCTGTCCTTTAAGAAACTTGAAAAGCATGGGAAAATTCAGTTAACCAATTTTTCTCATGGGCATCCACAGGTTATTCTTAATTAGTGTATTATCTGATAATGATGATTAAGACAGTCAGAAAAGGTTACTTGTGTAACCAGAAACATATACTTTAACTACCATTCATGTAATATATTGAATATACATACATATGTACATACATATATAAACCTATTTTTATTGATCACCTCTGTTACACATTAAACAAATTATCAACAAATATGGAACAAATATTGAATTCTGAATTCTAAATCTACCAACATCATTTTTGGCTGAATTTTTGACAATTCAGATGAAATACTTAGTTTTGGAAGCCACAACAATTAGCGTTGATAAATGGAGCGTTGTAACTGGCACCAAATATTTGGATTGACTTAACACATTGGCTATTTCAGTACACAGGAGAAATATCCATAGAGCTGACAGACCATTAGCTATTAAAATATTTTACCATAAGAGTTCTTTTGATCCAGTTCTAGATGAGCATGATTTTCTCTCTGCCATTTGATGTCCCTTGCTATTTCGATCTCCATGAAACTTAACATCATCCCATTTTTCCAGTTGTGTTTGAATGTCTATGAAAGAGATAGGAAAGGGGTAACAGGGACAGTGAATTATAAAGTGCAGAGATAAGAAGGGAAATTAAGATTAAGAAGTCTTATACAAGTCAACTTCATTCAACTGATGCTCCTAAACCCAAGACCAACTTTTTAAGACTGCATGAAAATTAATTAAAACATGTTCAGCTAAACAAAAATGAGACCTAGTAAGAGAAATTGGTTTGCTTTTAGTTAAACAATCAAGTTGTTTTCCCAAATTTATTCCAAGAGCTATGTGCATTCTGAATTCTTTGTATAAATTCACGGAATCTCATAAGAATGAACATATGGAGTACGATCCTAGCTGCCTCCATCTAAGGAGGTGGCTTTGAGGCACTTCTGACATATTTCTAGAAAGAAATTCTGTTTAAAGAGATGAACCTCACTGTTAAAAGGAGGTAAGAAGGAACTGGAACACTATTCACAGCTTTTGTAAAAGTGCTTAATTATTCATCAAATGAGGGAATGAATAATGGGAATAGAAAGAAAGGAAGTAATGGAGAAAGCCAAGAGAATGCTAAAAACATTTTCTCTCAGTGGTTTAATTCTTAAGAAATTTGGCTGGGTTTGCTCTTATTAACAGGTGTGTGACTGTAAATAAATCAGTTAAACAACTTTGGGGGCCATCTCTAAAAAGATTTGCAGTTGGTGTCCTCCAAAGTTCTTTAAGTATTTTTATGATTTCTTCACAGGACATTTTCTCAAAAGCAGAGAAATGAAAGTTTCATTTTTAAATTCATTGTGCTATATTGTAATGCATTTAATAATATATCCCTACATAAGTGTGTACATTTCATTATTCATCTGTACACCTGAGAAAAACTAGAACACATTGATAGTGAGGAAGTTTTGGAGATAGTTAGAAAACTTTCTTCCAAAGAGACAGGCCTCAGAGAGGGATATGGCAGGGGAGAGAGGACATGATGGATGCCCTTGGCTTTCTGAACTGTCTGCCACTCTTGTTACTCCTGAGAAATGAGACCATAATTTAACTGGTTCCATGAGATAAAGTTAAGCTTTCCTTTCTCAGGAAGATGTATAGTAGTAGGTAAAAGTATGGCTTTGAAATTAACCAGAAATATGCTCAAATTCCAGGACTTCCTTATACTAACTGAGATCTTGGGCAAATTATTTAAATTCTAAGTTTTCAATGAACTAATGGGCTAATGCATGTAATCATGCAGCATAGTCCTGGATGTGAAAAACCATCAATAAATGGTAGTTTGGGGTGCCTGGGTGGCTCAGTGGGTTAAAGCCTCCACCTTTGGCTCAGGTCATGATCCCAGGATCCTGGGATTGGGCCCCACATCGGGATCTCTGCTCGGCAGGGAGCCCGCTTCCTCCTCTCTCTCTGTCTGCCTCTCTGCCTACTTGTGATCTCTCTGTCCAATAAATAAATAAAATCTTAAAAAAAATAAATGGTAGTTGTTATTATTGTATTAGATATATCCCCATGCATGTTACATGTTCTGGCTGGCTATTCCTGGACCTTGTGTTAAAGCTGTTCTCTCTCTCTCTCTTTTTCTATCTCTTGACTGGCTATTTCCCACTCCAAACTAAATGCTCCTAGAGAGCAAGATTCATGTCTCATTCTTACTTGTAACTCCAATGCCTCATATGGCACCTGCCATCTACCAAGTATTCAACACTTGTAGGATGGATACATAAATGAGTGAATCCACATCAGTTATGCAAGACTGAGCTCCCCAAATACTATTTAATTCAAGCACAAAAGAAGTGTGTGTTGCCCATATTCCTTCATGGAATTAAGCTTTTTACTCCTTTGCCCATAGTTTTCATGTCATTTGTGGAACTTCTTTGTATTAAGGCAAGGGCCAGCAGCAGCAGACACATTCTATTACCTTACCTAAATCTAAGGATGATGTCTCTGGGCCTCGGAGAGGCTGGCCTCTCTGCTCAGCTTCTGCACTGATGAGATCGGATCCATCAGCCTTTTTCTTGAGGGATGAGGTTTTTGATGAGGCCTCCAATTTCTTGCCTTTGGTTTGGGTTTGAGAGACAGGTTCACTCAGGTCAAGGAGATCCAAGCCTGTGGTCAATACTATCAGAGATGGAAAAGGTTAAGATAAGCTCACTCACTGCTCTGAAGTTATTTTTTAAAAATAGGTTTCAGTTGGGTGCAGGAAGATTTTGTGGGTATAGTGTAGGTTAGAAGTATCAAATTATCCACTTGCCTGTTGAAAGACTCCTTCCATGGTTTGGCTATTATGGAAATCGTGGCTATGAACATTGGGGTGCATGTGCCCCTTCTCTTCTTTTCTTTTCTTTGAATACCCAGTAGTATAATTGCTGGTTCATAAGGTAGCTCTATTTTTAACTTTTTGAAGAACCTGCATACTATTTTCCAAAGTGGCTGCACCACTTTGCATTCCCACCAAGAGTGTAAGAGGGTTCCCCTTTCTCCACATCCTCTCAAACATCTGTTGTTTCCTGTCTTGTTAATCTTTGCTATTCTAACTGGTGTAAGGTGGTATCTCAATGTGGTTTTGATTTGAATTTCCCTGATGGCTGATGATATTGAACATTTTTTCATATGTCTGTTAGCCATTCATATGTCTTCTTTGGTGAAGTGTCTGTTCATGTCTTCTGCCCATTTTGAATGGGTAAAGAAGATGTGGTTCATAAATACAATGGAATATTACTCAGCCATCAGAAAGGATGAATATCCACCATTTGCATCAACATAGATGGAACTGGAGGAGATTATGCTAAGTGAAATAAGTCAAGCAGATAAAGACAATTATCATACGGCTTCACCCATATGTAACACAAGGAACAGTATGGAGGACATTAGGAGAAGGAAGAGAAAAATGAAGGGGAGGAAATCAGAGGGGGAGATGAACCATAAGAGACTATGGACTCCGAGAAAAAAAAGTGAGGGTTTCAGAGGGGAAGGGGGTGGGGGAATGGGATAGCCTGGTGATAGGTATTGAGGAGGGCATGTATTGTGATGAGCACTGGGTGTTATACACAAATAATGAAACTAATGAAGTATTGTATGTTAACTAACATAACATGATAAAAAGGAAAGAAATTGATGTAATTGAGGTAAATGTGAAAAAAAGTAACAAATTAAGTTAGCTCACCACTGATTTCTAAAGATGGTTTGCTTTTAGACTAAACAGTTTGCTACATGTTCTCCTTTATTTTGGCACTGTACAAACCCACAAAACAAGACTTAGACCAGCCTCACCAGTGATGAAAGTTTAAATCAAATTAAAATAATAAAATAGAATATGAATTCAGGTAGTAGTTACTTTATTGCTCTGCCATGTTTATAGATAGGTATATTTTACAGCACGTTTTTTCCAGAGAATAGTCTATCATATTCAGAGGTATGTTTGCAAAACAGTTATGAGGAAGATTTGTAAAAGTTTCTGATGTCTTTGTGTTTTAAATTTTGTACTACTAAGGTATACAGGATATAAAGGAGTGCTGTTAATCATCTTTTATTTAATTAAGCAGTTCAATCAGAAAATGGCTTGCTGTTTGGGCTCACATTAGAGAAGTATTTTACAATCCATAGCTGATGAATAGGTACACATGTTAATGCCTTTGCTACTTAATATGCAAATTTAAATTTCAATGTAACAAACCATAAAATGGCTACACTTTAACTTCCTAGCAGGTTGGTTACATTGCATTAAATACTCTAATAAAGGCAGAAATAATTTGTTTTGATGCAAAGTAGGTAAATGAGAATAAAATAGGCAAGCCTTGTAACTTTTTATCCTTTCTCTTACAGTGCAAGTCACCAGGGTGTGGCTAGCTCATCGTGAGAAATGGAAAACTTCAATTAGGGAAGGTCCCTCCAGCCCTGCCTCTCCACCAGTTCAAGAACCCTGAGACTGGCTTCTGGACTGGCCTGGTGGCTTCCTGGCCTGGGATCTCTTCACCCTGATAGTTTAGGAAAGTCAACAATGTGTCAGAAAAATCTTGGTGTTAACCCTTTCTGGCACCATCTACAACTATGACTGCAGCATTCCTCCCCTCTGACCTCTCAGCTGGTCCTCTGGGTAAGGAATGGAGTTTTGTTGATATCTCAGCACTCTTTCCATGTGCTTCTCCCTTGCACTCAAGGTTGGATTGGGGCTCAGTGGCACTCACAACCTGTATTTCTTTAGTACCACACTGTCCTCATGAGCTAACCACCCCGTAGGATCTTTAGGAATTTGTCAAGCTGTATTCTCAATAATCTTGTTTTGATTTCAATTACGAATCATAGTGGTTGGATGTTAATGGTGAAGTGGAAAGACCCGGCTCTGTCACTGTTTAGCTGTGTGACTCTGAGAAATTTTCTTGATTTTGCTGAGTTTCAGTTTCCTCTTCGGAAAAAATGCAGATTAAGTCTTTTTGGTATGATATGAAGATTAACTTATATAATTTGTTTATTGACTGTGTAAAGTGCCAAGCATACAATAAGTACTCAATAAACGTTATTTCCATTCTTTAGTGGCCAATTCGTGATGCTTTTCTTTCTTTTTTGCTGATCTCTTCCTATTCTCCCTGCTTTTTTTCTATTTTGGGCAAGAAGCGTATCCACACACTCACAGAAAGAAGAAACACCACTGGGAATAAAACAGAGAGTGAAACAAAGATATTGGTCTACAGAGGATGCTCTGAAGTAAATGGCCTGAAAGCATCAGCTTATCTCATCCGAGTCTTCCTGAGGAGAGGGGAGCCACTTTCCAGTGCTAAGATGCTCTGAGATATGAGCAGTGTTTTGTGGCCAGCAAGCACCTCAAAGTGGGAGGAAAGAAGTGGTTTTTAGAGCTAAGCTGCGTGGTTTGGTGTTTAAAATTTAAGCATGGCAAGAAGCCAAAATAGGCTAGGATATAACACTTTTCATATTCTTTGAATATTTAAACAGAAATTTCCAGTCAACTATTATGTTGGCAGAGATTCTAGACCCACCAAGATTTCCTTATAATAGAAGGAAGGAAATGGATAATAGTCTCTGGAATGCCATATATGTCTTTTTACTAATTGTACAAACAATTAGGAATTAGTCATTTGCTCCTACACTTCTTTTAGAAGCAAATTATATAGGACTTGTCTATTCTTATATAGGAAGTACATTTGTTAAAGAATAATAACTGGTGAGTATTAATTTAATTCTATATCTGCTTCTCACCATTCAGAACAAATGGATTACTAAAAGAGTGAAATGCAAATTCACGTTTGGCTCAGCAACATTCTTTCCCTCTCCAAACTGGCCTGGGCACTTCCTGTGTTGGTTCTGAGCTTTCTGTTCCTTTGTTATTTGCCCAGCAAATGTGAAACAAATGCTTTGCACACACAGAAAGCCTTATTTGTTACCCAGTTGATGAAATGGGGGGTGGCTTGGAGGTTGGATGGTAAGCTCTGAAGCTGAGAGAGTCCCTAGGAACTACAATTCAAAAGCATAGAAGGATGGGTGCAGCCTTTTTCTTTCTGGAAGAGACAAATTGCATTTCAACAAGCGTGTGTGTGTGTGTGTGTGTGTGTGTTGCACTTATATGTGCTTTAGTTAAGACTTAGAAATAAAGGGTTTCACTGTTCCGTATGGATGGACCTTGAAGGGAGCATATCTTGGCATGGAAGGGGATATTTGTTTGGCTTATCTTCTTAATCCAGTTTTAAAAATTCTTTTAGTCACATTAAAGTTTGGGTTCTGTAATCTGCGTGTCTGACTTGAGATAACTACCTCTTAGAGTGGATGTGAAAATGTATGTGTGTGTGTGAGAGAGCGAGAGAGGGAGAGAGAGAGACAGGCTTGAAGATGTTACGTTGCTGGCTTTGGAGATGGAAGAAGAGGCCATAAACCAAGGAATTCCAGGTACTCCCAGAAGCTGAAAAAGGCAGGAAGACAAATTCTCCCTAGAATCTCCAGAAGGAATGTGGCTCTGCTGACACCCTGATTTTAGGACTGATGACTTTCAGAATTGTAGGATAATAAATTTGTGTCGTTTAAACTTGCAGTAATTTGTTACAGCAGCAATAAGAAACTAACACAGTTCATATGTCAGTGCCCATGCCAGTATGCAAACACAGGCCCTGTTGTTACTCCCAAGCATGTGTTTGTCACCACTCCTCACTAGAATTTATCTGAAACTGGAGGCAATATGCTGACTCTATTGATATGGCTTTGATTATTTTTTTGTTTAGCTCCCAATCATCTGGCAGTTTGGATAGTCTGGCTTAATGTAAATAGTTGGTAATCTCCGACACTTTTTTTTTGGATCACCTAATTTCATTGGGAGGAAGTTTTGAAGATGGAAGCTGTAAGATGCTATGTAAGTATTTGTTTCCATTTATCTCAAGGACATCTGATTGAAGATCATAACCTATTGAACTGGAAGGCTCCTGGAGGGGTGGGTGAAGATATTTACAAATGCTAGATTACCTGGGCTAAGGGAGGTGGGGCTGTTTAAACAGTTAGATTAAAATAGCACTGATTATGAAGCTCTGATTTGAAGCTTTGATGGTAATTGCAATGTTATTTGCACCACTATAGTATAATGAGTCTCTGATTTTTAGTGAATTTCTTTTAAGGAATAAATCTACATGGAGTGGTCAGAGAGGACAGATTAAGGGACAGTCCTGATTGGTTCAGTCACAGAATGTGCCACAAGGAACTGACGGAATCTCTGTTCTGTTTTGTAAGCTACGCTGGCATTCTAGAAACATGGTATTCTTTAATATAGTGGCTACAAAGACAAGTCCCTTAGGAAGGATTTTGTCAGTGAAGTCGAATAGATACATTGGACTTTATTAATCCAATAAATATTTGCTTATTTTATTGGATTATGTTATTAAAGCTACCTCCAAATTCTTTTTTTAAGATTTTAAAGATTTTTTTTTTTATTCATTTGACAGAGAGAGAGAGAGAGAGCACAGCATGGAGAGCAACAGAGGGAGAGGGAGAAGCGGGCTCCTCACTGAGCAGGGAACCTGATGTGGGGCTTGATCCCAGGACCCTGGGATCATGACCTGAGCTGAAGGCAGACTCTTAACTGACTGAACCACCAGGTATCTCAAGCTACTTCCCAGGAAGCATGCCATTGTCTTCACTGCTAATTGGGCTTCATAAAAATGTATTTTGTAAATACTACACTAATTTTGCAATTAAAATATTTAATTAAGTGGCTATGACAGCTAGCTGTTAAGTTAGCTCTCCCTGTCCATATATGGGTCTCTTACAGAGGTATACAGACCCCATATCAAGGAGAGAAATTATTATTTGTTAAACCATGAAAAATGTTTCTTCTATAGTAACTATCCACCTAATGGCTCAAGTTGAGGGATAAAATTCTTTTAGATCATGCAGATTGATAAATGCAAACAAAGGACCTCCTGTTTTACTTGTTTTTTAGGAAAGAATCTTTCCTGTACTTTGATATATGTTAGATTTTTGGGGAGACTGCCAACCAACAAGTTATTATTGCAAATTTTACAGTACACATTTGTTCTGTAATGTAATCATGATCTTAAAACATCCATTGTCTAGTTATGTTCCAAGCATTTGATATATGTATCTGTGATAATGTACTTATTTGTCATTTTAAAATCCAGGATATTAGCAGTGATTTCAGCTTACATACCATTTAGGGATACAGTTTGAGAGGGCCATGGAATTAGCTATCATCTAGATCACAGATGAATTAAAAGATAATTTAGGGTGTTAATGGCAAAGAAATTAAAATCATTCTTATTTGATCTGCTTGATATTATTACTATGGGATGACAAAAAGTTAATCCTAAAGTAGAAACAAGTGGAAAGTAAAAAAAAAAATAAAAGTAAAAAAAGATAATTAAACACTTAAGAAAAAAAGGCATATCATTTAGAACTTCTATGAGACAGGAGATTGATATGTTCTCTTAAAGTCAGTAGAGGAAAAAACCTTATCATCTGAGAGACATTTGGAAGAGATAAATATTATCCATATTGTATTCTGTGCTAATTTATATAAGAACTATATTCCTTAAATATTTAAGTAAGTGCTATGATGGTGGCACACTAGCTTTATTTTTTCATTAGAAGAAAATGCCAAGTACAAATGCCTCTAAGAACACAAGCTTCTTCAAATTTCTTCTTGATTGACTCGGTATAAGCTTGAAGCAGGTTTTCTGCCATATTTTACTCCAAGATTATTTAATATCCATTCTTTAAGTGTAAGGATATAAATAATACCAGGGATGTAACAGACACTTAAAGTTCAATAACTGTCCTGATTGCTCAATGTAATTCCATACTATTCTATAAAATGACAATGCTCTATCTAAAATTACTATTTTTTATTAAAAATTTGGACAGAAATGGTAACCATATCTTTTGTCCAGAAACTTTAGCTATAAAATTATTGGACCAGATTAGAATTCTTTCCAAGGTATATGTATGATAAAATTTTTCCTTTTTAAAGATGTATAATAATGTTGCATATTGAGATACCAAATAGTGCATTCTGTAATATTTTTTAAAAAGTATATTTCTTAGGTATTAAAAATATACAGTGTTTCTGCCTTGAGATATACTTTTAAGATTAAAAAACACATCAGGGGCACCTGGCTCAGTTGGTTAAGCAATTGCCTTTGGCTCAGGTCATGATCCTAGAGTTCCCGGATTGAGTCCCACATTGGGCTCCCTGCTTGGCGGGGAGTCTGCTTCTCCCTCTCACCCCTCACCGCTCATTCTCTCTCTCCCAAATATATAAATAAAATCTTTAAGGAAAAAAAAAAGTCAGATACTTAACTTCCCACCAAAAACAACAACAACAACAACAACAACAAACACATCAAATAAGAGTATTCCTTCAGGATAAAAATCTGTTTGACCCAGCTGTACTGAGTGATGAGGACAAGAAAAGGAAACCACACAGTCTCAAAATACCATTTTTCTTGAACCTCTACTTTGGAGGGTATTGTGGACTGATATGTGTTCCCACCCAAAATTCTTATGTTGAAGTCTTAACCCTCTAGTACCTTGGGATGTGACTTTATTTGGAAATAGGGCTGTTGGAAATAGAATTAGTTAAGAAGAGTCATATTTGAGTAGGCGCCTAATCCAATATGACAGGTGTCCTTATGAAAAAGGGAAATCTGGATACAGAGACAGACACACACAGGAAAACATACAGACAGGGAGAATGTCATATGAAGATTGAAGTAATGCTGCCATGAGCCAAGGGACTACCAGAAACTAGGTAAGAGGCCTAGAACAGTTTCTTCCTGAGCACTGCAACTTCAGAGAGAGAATGGCCCTGTTGACACCGTAGTTTGGGCTTTCTAGCTTCACATTGCAAGACAATAAATATCTGTTGTATAATCCACCAATCCAGTTTTTGGTATTTTGTCATGAAAGCCTAGAAAATGAATATAGAAGGCAATACTATCATATTGCAATCATAAGAAATTACAAATTCTTTTGAGTTTTTTTCCTTCAATATTTTGCAAGCCTTTTTTGTATATTAGAAAACTCAATGTGAAAAGTGACTTTTGAATTAAATATTATGTTGCTCTCTCTGGTGGGCCCTTCCTAAATTATTTAGTTTTAGCATCAGTGGGAGTTGGAAAATGCAGAAGGTACTGGAATCAAGATCTGAGAATTCTGTGCTTTGCAGCCTTTTTTTTTTTTTTTTTTGAACAGTAGGAACTTCTCTGTGCATCCAGTTCTTATGGATTTTCCTGAAAGTAGAGACATCTGCATTTTTCTAAGGGTGGCTCTCTAGTTTTGGAGGGGTGAGCTTCAGTTTCATAGATAGGGAGGATAAATCTGATCTGGTAGGATCCGAACTTATTTAATTTCCTGCTTAAATGTACCAAATACAATTTTATTTGCTTGATCTCTCAAAGTGATAGCTGAATTTCGAAAATGATTGCTGTTGTGCGGTAGAAGATTAATGCATCTGAAAAGGGGAGTGTTGGGTATACTGTTTTCTAACCTGATATCTAACAGTAATGGTAACATCTGTTAGAGCTTACATGGTGTTAAGGAAGGGCTTACATAGATTGCTTTATTTCATCTTCTCAAGTAACCTAGGAGATATAGATGTTGCTGTTGCAGAGGAGGAAAGAGACTTAGTCAAGTAACTTGCCCAAGGTGAAGAGCTGCTAAGTGGCACAGCTGGGGTTTGATGTTGCCAGGTTTGGCCCAGAGATCCCAGACTACCCTCCTGCATTAAGTGCCTCTATCTTGGGTTGTAATTTTTACAGCTGGGTTGTATTTTTTTTGTGGTTGTAATTTTTAGCATTTAAGGGAAATTACAATTTCCTTCACCCACGATTTTCTTCACTTACTTAAAAGTATAATGAAAATATAACAGGTAATTTCAAGCTGAAGACACGATGGGGAAACAGAACAAGACAGTACATAATTGTTCTCTCCTTTCTCCATTAAACTCTCTCCTGAAATCCAACATAGCCTTTGTTCTTTGACTCTGAACACTATGTTTTCATCCTTATTTGAACAACCTGCCTTTGAATGTGAACGCTGACTGAATAAAATCAATGCAGAAAGGCAGTCTCTGATATAGAAGGTGAAAAGTAGCGTAACGTCAGATCTTACGTAGCTCTCTTGGGGTGAGCCCTGACTAGCATCTGTGAGAATTGAAAAATGCAGAGGGGACTAGGGGAGGTGTGATTCATCCCAGTGGCATCCTGCATCCACTCACTGGATGATACTTACTGGGGCCCATACAAATGAGAGTTCGCTGTCTGGGTAGGTTTAATTCCAGAAGAACGTTCAAATAAATTGTTGTAAGAGGAAACAAGTAACACATTTACGTGACAGAAAAATGAAATTAGCTCTATAATGTTTCCAATACCTGGAACTTTTAATTTTGTCATCTCAATCACTTGAAGGGGCTGCCTAAATTTTAATTTTACTGGACTTTGGTTATACACAGTATTTCCAGCCAAAACTTTGAAAAACCTTACTCTGAAATAGATGTTATTGTTTGAAAGACTCCTTGTAATGTGACTCAAGATGCAAAGATGTAGGTATGCATAGAGAAATGATTTCTACTGATAGTGGTGCGCTACCGTTCGCAAAGTTGGTTGGGTAAACTACACTGTGGATTCTTCTAGAATACAAACCGATGTATTAGTTTATGTGGAATAGTGTATGTCCTCAACTTTCGTTTGGTTGCAAAGATTACTCTCCACTTAAAACGCATCACAGAGAGAAAATACGCATTTCACTGTAGTGAAAATGAGCTCTACTTGAGGATCAGTTAAAAGTGAAAGAATTACCGGCTGTGTTGGACGTTACTGGCCTTGCTATTGCCTCCGATTTGGTTTCACAGAGAAAGTCATCGATGGAGGGACTCAAGAGGGGTCTGCTTTCTTGCTGCTCATTCACCAGCTGAGAACAAATGAACACAGGTATCAAAGGGCTTTGTTAAACTGCAGAATAGGACGAATTACAATGCAGCCTTGCAACGAAATGAGAATAGCAAGCCTATCAATCAATCAATAAACAAATAAATAGGGAGGGACAAGAAAGAAAAAAAAATATCAAGGGATGGGGAATGAGCCTTTTAGCATTGTCAACGTATTTTTGATGCAGCCAACTTCAGTTTTAAAGCTCAAGCCTTTTTTTTTTTTCCCTTCCTAGAACTGTTTTAGAATTATTCTCTGAATTTCAAATGTAGAAAATGACTCCTCTTGAATCACAGTTCCTACTCTTCAAGTGGATAAAACGTTACTGAAACCTGGAAGAGTGGCCTCAGACGCTGAGGTGACACATTCTGGTTAGGGCGGGCAGTCCACATTATGTGATTAAGTACGCACACACAGAGCTCTATGTGTGTGGATGAATGTTCTCCTCTCCTCTCTCTCTTAAAAAGCTCATCTATGGGCACATATCCTTCCTTACATTTCCTTGGGATGCTTCTGTGGTTCATGACAAGCATTATTTGGGGAGAGTAGGAAATACTTATACTAACTGTACAGGTATCCACTAGATATGTTTCTGAAAATCTATATGTAAAATGGATTTCTATCAATTCAGTTGTCTTTTCCCATTGGTTTGTTCCCTAATTCCAGAAATCCTTCAGTGTGATTTTTAGTTGGTCTTTAATTATCAGTGGCAGCCAATTATTTACTTTCAGTTCTTTTGCACCTCTTAGAATCCAGACTTCCTTAGGTTCTGTTTCCATGGTTAAAGGGAAATAAATATACTCATGATATGCAAGTAGTTAATTCCTAAATTAACTGTCTGAGTTTTTCAGGAGTTTTTAGATTGGCATTTCTTAAAATGGGGATAGCTGTCTAGTTTTCTACTTGTTCTAAGAAAAAGACATGCCCCCAAATCTCTAGATTTTCAAATACTGACTTGTAAGGCTGTATTTTGAGAGATGTAAAAAACGAAAATAAAGTCTTATTTTCTTATTTTGTTTCTTCATTTTGGATATATTTAAATTCTTTTGTAAACACAAGGACTAATAATTTATTCCTGTATCACAGCTCTGTGAGTAGATGTGTGGAATGGGCCTAAATTAACTATAGTTTTAGAAGACCAGGGTGTTAGACCTCCACAGATACTTTTAGTTGTAAACACTAAAAAACTATAGTCTGAATTTGATAAGAGGTTTCTACAAAGGCCCTTGTTGACATAGATATCTAAATGGAAAAGCAAAGGAAAAGGCCCAGTTAATTGAGAGGCCTTGTCCTTTTAGGCAGGTCTGTTTGTCAAAGGTAATAGGATTTTTTTTTTTTTAGAGCCTCTCTCTCTTTATGAAAGTTCAGACTTATTTTCCGGAGGAAGCACTTGTAGCATTCTCAGATTTTCTCAGCACAGGAGGAAAGAAATACCAAAGAGGGGGATGCTTAGGGAGTCCCTCAGGAGCCCAGAACGGAGGCATGGCTTCTCCTCTGCCTCATAAGGCCTCTGCCTCTTCCCACACCTACTGTCTAGTTTCCCAGCACATGTCATACCCAGACTGAGGGAGTGTTAGGTCTGTCCAATTCCCATAACTGAGCTGTTCCTTAAGCAAAATAACAAACTACATTCTGAGTCCATGTTTTTCAAAGTGGAGCACAGTCTGCCTGTTGGGAAATGCTGGGGTTGAAGTGGGGGATGGTGGCAGGTCTCTGGGGTGAAAAAGATGAAGGGCCAGATTTCAGATAGCATGGAAAGCTAATTTGGGAATTGAAAGTTTTTGGTTTTGATGGAGATATGGAAGATAAAACAAGAAATATCATGAACTCGTTTCTTATAAGCTCTGAGGTCGGAGGCTACATCTTACTCATACTTATATCTTTCACAACTTCAAATAGAATGTTTTCATGTAAGAGGGGATCAAGAAATGCCTACCAAATGGGACAGTGACTTTGCAGAAACTGAGGATATAAAATATCTGTTTCGAGCAGTCCAATTTTGAATTCTGTCTTCAGCTGGATGAATTTGGGAATCATTATTTTAGCCAGACCAAGTCCTATTTTATTTTTATTTGTATAGATAGGAATAACTTTTCACATGACCCCCTCCTCATTTTCAAACAAATCTATGGTTTTTCTATGGTGACCTGAGAATAAGTAAATCTTTTAGGTTATAAAGGACAATTGCAAACTGAGCTGAATCCCCCAACGATTTCCCCTCAGCTTTGCTTCCAAACTGTATGCCATTTATTCTCTCCTTATTTAGTGGTAGGATATGACTTACTGACTTTTGCTTAGAATTACTTTCTTCAGTTTGAAAATGCTTTATGAACTTACCTCATTTCATCCTCTGAGTACAGAGTATATTGATATTATAAAAATAATAAAATGTGAGTCAAAATTTTTCCACTTTTTAAAATAATTAAGTTAGAGTGATTTCAATTTGGATCAATCAGATTATCATATCTGAGTTAAAATGACCCACCTGATTAGTTTTTAGGGCCTTTGTCTCCTCGCTTTGTTTACATTTAAGATGTTCATTTCTTATGTTCCTCTTCTCAATATTTAAATAAGTTCAAGCCTTTCTAATGGTGACAGATTCTCACTTCTCTTTCAGGACCCCATTCCACTGGCACAAGGTCTGGGAACCTTCTTCAGCATGAGGCAGTGAGGGCCTTCTTACAGCATCTCCATGTTTCTAGGTTGTACCCAGTCTTAGACTTCAATTTTACCTGTTTTCCTCCTCTAAGACAATGACCTCTTTGAGGTCATAGAGATCTTACTCAGTTAACTTTTATATCTCATAGCTTTAGTTTAATAAATACTGACTGCTTCATAGTCAAACTGAATGGTGAATTGTACAAAAGAATGATTACATGAGCATCTTCAATTTCATACTGGGTCAGTTCACAGAGAGGCCGGTAGTCCTCAGAAATGTAGACCAGTTTCCTGGCAGGTTTTAAACCATAAATCTAAGTCCATTTTCCCCCAGCTTCACGTTATTTAAAAATTTGGAAACCTAGAGTTACCTAAAGATTCATTTCCAAATGCAAGTGTTCTACCAAACAGTCAAGGATGCTAAGAGTGAAAGAAAGCCTAATGAGAAAAATAAGGGCATCGGTGTGCCCCACGCCATCCTTGGAAGAAGGAAATAGACCAGTACAAATGGGAGGCCAGTGACACTTCAAGACAACACTACTGCCTCACTCAGGGATTTTAAATCAGAGATGCAAATTTGAAGACTTTGAGGGAAAACCCTTATATGATCAGTGGGCATTGGAAACGAAGGGAAACTGCAGGAGTAAGAAGATAGTTGAGTACTTGCATGGAGGTGTTTCCTGGTCACCCAGAATTCAACTGACTATTGAAACTTTACACTTGCCTTGTAATCATAGGTTGTGAATTAAATATTCAGTCAAATGCCTTCAATTTACTTATGACTTAGACCAGGCAGTTGATATGGCTAATATTAGTCACCAAATTAGTTCTTATATCAATACTGTGTTTAGTATTGAGCAGAATGCAGATAATCACATCCAGCTTTAATAAATTATTGTCTATTTTAAAACTTTATCTAAAAATGCATTTGCTGTAGTTCAACTTGAATTTCTGTAATTCTGGTGTTAAAAATTTAAATTAATTATGTAATCTAAGCTATAAGGGAGTATTTAACTAAGATGAAAGTAGAGTATTTTGCCTTTAAATACTACCTGTTACTTAACTCCAGTGTATGTTTCTATAGTTTAGGACTTTAATCTATGTTTATTTACCTTTAAACAACATACTGCTTAGGTGATTCATTAAAAAATATAGAGCTAAGTGTTTGTGATAACTTCTATCACTAAGAATTAAATCCAAACCAAAATACATTTTACATGATAAAACAAGGTCTGTAAATGGTAATAACTCATTATCCCATACGTCTACACTCCAGGTTGATGATCTTAAACTGTTGCTTTGGTTTAAAGTGAAATATTTTGTATTTATTTTTAAACATTTTAGTACTTAAAGAATAGTTTTAAAAATTAAAACACTGAAGCTAGTAAGCTGAAAAACAGTTGACAAGTATCTTATAGCTGAATTGTTGACCTAAAAAATTGGTAGTGATATACCATGTCTCTGACCTCATCTAAATAATAGAAAAAAAATGAAGATTTTTCCTATGTAAAAAAAAAAAAAAAATATATATATATATATATATATATATATAATTTTAATAGATACATCTTTATGTATTTTGGAAATTCCTTTATTATTTATGACATTGTTGATTAAAATATGTGTCATTTCTTAAGTAGGTTTTCATTCATAATTTTGTAATTGCACTACTTGTTTATGGCTTTGTTAGTCCTATGCAAGTTTAGAAATTTGTGCAATGCCCATCAAAATAGCGATCCTATCAAAACTAATGATAAGTTTTGTTAACTGACTCAATCCATTGAAAAGACAAGACGACTCACTAGATCATTAGCATGCTTCCTTTAAGTATTCATACTTTGAGAGTTTTGTCATATATAGTAACTCTGACACTTGACAGAATTAATTTCTTGTGAGCTGGTAATAGTACTAATGGTTCTGCTCTGCTCCCCTCCCTCTACCTATGTTCCTACATATGGGTCCCAGGGGCGCTTCCAGTAAAGGATAACCATGTAATCACTTTTAACTATTTGAATTGATCTAAATGTCCACCAACTATAACTACTTTCTTGACAGAAAAGTTAGACTTAAAAATGTGAATCTCTCCATGGGGAAATGAACAGATATTACTGTTTACAGCTTGGGCAGTACCAACACTGAGGCAAGCGGGAGAACATAAAGCAATTGTATCAGGCTGGTAACAGAAATCCAAACAAGGTTATATTTAGTAGCCCTGAGAACATTTTTCCAAACAAGGACATTATTCTTTTTATGTTTATCAGACACAAAAATATTTTCAGTATCAAGGTATAAGGAGTGGGGACAGATAGAAACACAAAGGCTGAGCTTGCAAAAAAAAAAAAAAAAATTCCCTTAACAAGAAGACATCTGAAATACATAGTTTTAAGATACTATGCTCTGTAACAAAAAATGAATGGGATGTATTTTGCTAAAAAGAAGTACCAGGGGATGTGGTTAAAATGGAAACTTTTGATGGTTCCTTATGAGAAAAAAATTTGCTAACATAATTTCATTCTCATAAAGAAGAATAATTTTTTATGACACAATCAATCCTTTGGCACATAGTTGATCCTTCTGTCCTCAAACTGGATTAATTTATTACAGTCTAGAGGAGTGCTGTACAATAGAACTACCGTGAGAACCTGATAATTTAAATTTTCCTAGTAGCCACTTCAAAAAAATTGAAAAGAAACTGTTGAAAAATAATTTTAAGAATGTATTTTATTAGCCCAATGTATCAAAAAATGATCATTTCAACATGTAATCAATAAAACATTATTAATGCCATAGTTTATATTACTTTTCTTAGGTCTAAATCTTCAAAATCGGGTGTGTATTTTATACTTTAAGCACATCTCAATTGTTGGGAGCCCCAAAGCACTCAATAGCCACATATGGGTAGTAGCTCCTGTGCTGGACAGCCCAGGCCTAGAGAAACCGTTTTCCTTCAAAGACTTGAGGGCATATTGTTTTTCCTTCAGATCTTTCATCAATGCACACTTGTTTACATACTGCTTGACTTAAGGTGTTCATCTAGGACAGCATGACCCTGAGCTTCTATGAAGTGCTTGACATACGTTTATTAATACAGAATTAATAACTGAATTAAACAAAAAGCAACTTTCAGGGGCCCAGAAATTTCTGAATTCAGGTCACCTGGCCAACTCTTCTGTTTTAGTTCAATTTGTTCAGCATACTATACATGACTTCACTGGTGTATGTTTGGCTAAATCCCTCTAAAAGTGATTGTAATAATCACATAATACAAAAATATGCTTCAATATAAACTATTCTACACTTAAAACCTGTTGACCAAACAGTTATTAAACAAGTTACGAACCCAGGGTTTCAAGAACTTACTTTGTATTTAACTAGTTATGGTTGTCCTAAGGACATTATTGAGAGAGCAGCAGTTAGCTTCAGACATATCTGGAATCTATGAATGAGTAGCTGGTTTTGACATACCAGTGATGAAGATGAGTCAATGTATTCAGTAGTATGTAGTGCTATGTCATAAGGGGCTTTATAGGAGATGCTGGGACAAACATATTTCAAGACACTAATACATTCACACAAGATAACAAGTAAGAATGTGGTATGGTGCACAGACTGGATGCTATGGCTGCTATGAGAAGTACTCACTTTTCCAGATCATTCGGCTGCTTTTTGGCTTGTGCACGCCACTGGTGCATAGCAGGAAAGAAGCCACTTGTGTACAGTGGAAAAAGTATGTCAACTAATAAAGCTGCATTTGACTGAGAAATAATTGTATCACAGCTGTCACTGAATAAATTCCATAAAGTCATCAACACAACAGGTGCATTACATTTTATGAATCAGAACTCTGTTTGCTGATTCATAAACTACCCAGTATGCAACAAGAAGATGATGCATCAAAGAAAGCATTACATAATCTTCATGCAATAAAATTCTAATCAGTACCTCAAAAACAGTCAATGCAACATTAGACAGGGATTAAAGAAGGAACTTGCTACATACAAATGTTCTGAATATGAAAAAACGGTAATAATCACAATTTCTTTTCTAAATTAAAAAATAAAAAATATTATTTTGCATTAAATTTTAAATTCAAGCTTAAGTTATAATGGCAGTTTTGGATCTTTGAAAGGGATTACTGGAAAGCACATAGCAATGCATGGTTTAGGGAAAAGAATTTTGGGTGCTGGAGCCTGTCCTAACTTGTGATATTCTGAATGATATGTTATAGCACAACTATGCCAATGGAGATTCTGGGTAGCTCTTATCTACTGATGAACATGGCTATCATTAACCAAGAACTCCCAACTAGTTCTCACCTCCCATAGCATTTACCTGAGGAATTGTGAGCTGAATATTTTGGACACAGATTCTACAAAGGCTAGATCAAGGTAAAACTGTATATGTTTTACTATATAAATTATGTAGGGAATGGAGACCTTGGTAAATATGAAGAAATTTCTTTCTAACTACTACTCTGTGTGATTGGGAAGAAGCATCTCTTCTTTATGGATTAAAAAACTCACAATACAAAATTTATCCCAAAGTCCTAGGAATCTTTGATAACTTTTTTTATTATTCAATTTTGATTGTTGTATGTTGTTATGATTTTCATTACTTACAACACAGTGTTTAGAATAAACTAAAACCACACATGTTGGCAGCAGCTGGGGATGTGATCTGATGATATTCTAAAAATAAGTTGCCATAATTTAGCTTTTGATATAAATGCCTTTCATGAGGACTGTAAATGGACATGTTTCGAATTCTAGACATGTTCATATAATTGGAACTGAATCACTGCATTTACTATTGCATTACAGAGAAAAAGAAATGTTTAAGATAACAATCTAATCTAAATTATAAGATAAATGCAAGTAAAAATATTTTTCATTTAAGAATTTAAAACTGATAGTTCCACAGAGTGGTGATGAGTATATTATACATATTTATGTGGATTTTACAGGGTGTTTCAAAAGTCCCTGAGGACATACAGGATTCACAGTCTCAGTGTGTCTTTGCATACAAATGCAAACTTTTTTCTATACTTGTTATAATAAATGCTGAAAATGGCTCTCATGCGTTTATAATAGAGATGATATTTTTGTTGTCAAGGTCACTAAGTATACGAGAGGTCACAAATGCCATTTTCTGCATGGGGACTCAGGGACTTCTGGCTCATTCCTGTAAATTAGTTATCCACATAAATATGTATAGACATATATGTAGTATGCATAGTCACAACATAAATATATTTAACATTTAAGAAAATTTAGATATTCTACTGGTAAACTGACATATGTATACAATAGAACTTGTATTTATTCACAGGAATTTGATTTTTTTTTTTTTTTGGTTGTTGTTCAAATGTACCATTAGCTTAATTGTTATTTCTTTCCCAAAGTTGTTAACAAGATTCCTTTATAAAGTAGCAACATGGTTTACTTGCACATACATTTTTTTAAAACTAAAGTTGAGTAATGAAAATTAACATCCACAAATAACTAAATGATGGAATTTTCCTTTTTTTTAGCAATTTTGGTTTTCATTTTATATTGTATAATTGTTTCATTGAAACTGTGTTTTTTAAAAATTGGTTCAAGTTAATGTTTTGTTTTTGTTTTTGTTTTTTTTTTTTGCTAGTTAAAAATCACAATGTCTGATATATTAACATATGTCAGCTTCCTACAGGAACCCTATGGGTCTGCCCACCTGTGATGTCATAGTTAGGAGGGGCTTTTCTTCAGCAGACTCCTCCCTCGGTATCTCCTTCATCACCATGGCAACAGCCTTATCTGCCGCCCTAGAGCCTTTTCCCTATAACAGTGAAATCAACAATGACTTGTGTCAGGAGAAATCTTTAACTTATTACAAGATATTCTAATGTTTAAAGAGCAATCCAACATAAATGAAGAGGTAGGCTGCTGCAAGTGAATCTTGAGGCTTTTGGCTGAGGAGAAAACACACAAAATCTGAAAAGAGATTATTTGTGAACTTTTAGTTAGCTACTTTTTCACCTTTACAGCTGACATATTATATTTAATTTTAACATAGTATTTTATATGTATAATATATTTTAAGGCAATTTACATGACATGAACATAATTTTTATAGTATTGATTTAAAAACACTATGGATTGCCTAGTTCATTTACTAACTGTTCTTATAACATCCTTAAATGTTTTGCATGACAGTAAGGAGTCCGAGATAGGGATCAGGATCAGTGTCTGACTCCCCCAGAGGGATTTTGCTGGGTGGTCTCTGGACTCTGTCATTTTTTAGTGGATGGGGCATAAAAAGAGTAAAAGTGTCATAAAACTTCTAAAAATTCTTCAACAGCCTAACATCCCAGAAATTCACCCAGCTTGTGTATTTTGTGGAGATGGTATGATCTTGGTGAAAAATTTTTCAACTCTCAATAATTTTGAAACCAAAGAATTTTAATAGGGTTTTAGAAATGCCTTTTAATTAGAGGATCACAAAGAATCTAGGTATAAATAAAGGATGATAAATAATTGAAGCACTGATAAATATATCCCCACAATTTTTTGTCTCATACAAGCATAGTTTTGGACTATAAAGGGGTATGCTGGCTTTCTGTTTTTTTAGTTTACTGGATTAAGTTTTTGTGAGTAGATGTGAATAATGGAAAAAAAAAACCAAAATATCACCTTCATAACCCAATTAGAAACATCTTATACTATGTAAAAATTAAATACTCTTTAAACATTTTAAAAACGAAAACTTCCATTTTCTCAGGTCTCTGGGCAAAGCCTCCCGAAAGAAACAATTTTATACTAAGAAGCACATATGAGTATCTGTGTTCTAAATCTACTTAAAATACAAATGTAGCATATAGGGATATCATAGGCAAAGATTAAAAAAATGGACATATGGGGGTCTGTTATCTGAAAGGTAATTAAGAGCTAGAGTCAGTATTAACTCCAGAGATTGATAAATCTTGATAGTCTCCATGCAGCAAAAAAAGGATGAAATTATGTTATGATCTTGGACTCACACAAGGGTTTAAGTATTTAGAAGGTAGGTTTACTCTAGGAAGCAAAACTGTCTATTTTCTCAGGCATTGCCTTTCTAAAATGTAATGAGTGGCAGGTTTTATTAATGAAAACAAAGAAACACTTTCTCTGCAGTTATTAGATTTTAAAATGTGTGAATCTCTTTACAATGCTGGAAGTGCCTTTAGTTTGTTTTGACTTAACAGAACTAGCATTACTGAATGATAATGTGTTATCTCCACAATGGGATATCAACTACTGAGATTTTATTTAGCACATATAACAGTAATTTCCATATGTATTCTGCAAAGTTTATAAGGCCACAATTCTTAAAATAACTGACTTCTGGAAAGATAAAGAAAGACAATGATCTACTGCATAACAAATTGGGGTGCATAACAATCCCAGGTTTTTTCTTTATGAAGCAATGTGAACTTCCTAAAACAGAGATGCATACAATTCTGCATTCTGGGAAAATATTTATTATGGCACTATTAAACTATTTAACATTTTTTCAAAATATAAAAATTATTTGGATGAAACATTACATACTATAAAGTGATAAGGCTTTAAAAGCTACACTCATTTACAGACTAAATACAGTTTTTAACAAAAATCTTTGCAGTTTATTTTTTGAAAAGAGCAAAATCATTTGTGAAGAATTCTTTCCATGCTCCAAGAAGTTCTAATAATATAGCAATAAACAAAGTGGCATGCTTATATTTAAATTCCTAATATATTTAAAGGAACAAACCTAATGTTACAAGGTATAATTTTAAAATAATAATAATAATTCAGAATCTGTTCTTGCGCTAAGAAAAAAAATGTCAATTGATAAGCATCTCAAAAAATTTCAGGTCAATATTTCAATATACCATTTATTTGAAATGCTACCAATCATGAGCTATATATAGATATTTTTCACATGTGCAACTATTATGGCTAGAATTAGCAACGGACATGCCATTTCACTAAAACAAAAAACAAAACAAAATAAAAATTAGTCCTTTCATGCTGAACTCTAGAACAAAGCAGTGGTCAGCTAGAAAGGATGTATAATAAACACATGCGGTGCTTTTTATTTCTTGCAGAAAAACCCACCAAAGCCAGGGTCAGGTCACTTTTTTGAAGACAGTGCCACTTTTTCTTCAAGGTTACACCTACTACCTGAAAAGAGTCATGACACCCATGTTAGTGCCTGCTAGCAACTTTTTTTCTTTATAGCCTTTTGACTTTTGAGTCATTACCCCATGAGCCTCACTGTTGGACAAGTGTGGTACAGTATGAAAACAGAACGGGAACGTCTGCCACAATGACATCTCCATGGTTCCAGATATAGTGTCTAAACCCACTGCCAAATCAAATGAATACACTCATCTATCAGAGCAAGATTTCTCTTAGACCATATTGTCACCTCCACCTGCTATCTTAAAATCAAGCTGTGTTATTTCTGATTTGTCCATTTATCTTGTGGGGTAACACTTCTAGAATTCAAAACCTGGCTGAGAATTGATTTGGCAATTCATGGAACTATTCATTTTTGCTTGTCAGCAGATCTACAGGACCTACAGTAATACACCCATACAAGTTTTTTTCCTTTTTTGAAGTCAGTGGCTTAATACATCATAACAACTATATGTGCATAATTATCCAGACTTCAAGCACAATTTCCTAAATATAACCACACCGAAGACTCAGTATTAATCTATTACCTGAAACAACACAGAGACGGCAATAATGAAATACACACTCAAGCATATAAGTGGATTTAGATTACATTAAGCCTGTATGCTTCTATGTAATTCTTAGCATAACAGAAAAGAACAGAGAAAGGTTACAAGTTGATTATCACATTGGGACACCGCCAGTAATTTATTTCAGCCAATTTCTTTTCAAATAATACTTCAAAATCACCTTTCCCCACTTCCTTATTGAATTTCTTGAGATAGTTTTGACTGTTTGGAAAACATTACCATGTGGAGAAATTTCTGTTTTTTTCTTGGTGATTTGTTGTAAGAATTCTTCAATACTTCTTGGTTTCTTTTATCATTTTGTTTCCTTCCCAGTGAAATATGTCAATAGTCGCTGTACTAACAAATAATTCTTGAGAATAACCTTTTTATTAACTTCTATTATAAGACCAGGCATAAATGAAAGAAACACAGGTAGTACGGTGAATGATATTAACGTTTATTAAGAAAACCCAATTTGGGCTCACTCCCTCTGTTAATATAGTATATAAACAACAGAGTACAAAATACTGAAATCACAGGATCCTCTCAGGCTGTGAAGCTACCAGATGTCTTTGGATGAGGAGGTACTGGCAGCAGGCTGGTCTCATAGGGAGGGGAACTAAATTATTTGGAGAAGCTGCTATATATGCCAGGCACTCTGGCTAGGTGTTTTACCTATTTTTACCTAAACGATCACATGAAAGCTCTGTGAGGTACAAGATATCTTTGCTAGGTAGATAGTGAGGCTCAGAGATGGTGTGATTTAGCCAAGGCCTCAAAGCTAGTATGTGGCTGAGCTGCCTCCCGGCCCATGTGCTTCCTTCTCGCCCATGTCCTCCTCACTGATGGCCATAAGTACAGGTTGTTTATATCACTTAGGTTTTGAGAAGCAGCCATTTCTCAGTGTAATCACAGAGTCTGGATCTAAGTAAACTTTTTGAAAAATCTTTTCTTTAGTGTGTAACAGTCAGTAAGAATCAATCATCCATAACTTCACTCATGAGCATACTGGGATCAAAATATTTTTGCTTCTTTTATCTTTGTGGAAAACTAACCTACAGATTTCATGTATATATACTTCTTTTTATTCTGTAGATCTTATTAGGTTTATAAGTTGTAGCATCACTCTAATTCTTATTAAATGTTAACTCAATGCTATTAAATGACATCTTTATTAGGATTTTTCCTCAGATAAATTTTGGGTGCATGAAATACAGTATGCAATGCCACAGTTACATGGCCCATTCAAAAGCAATTTTCTAGTTACAGATTCTATTACTCCTACTATGGAGATCGTAATTTAAAAATTATGTTTATCATTCCTAATCTATCAATAATAATCCAGAGTGTCTTCATTAGAGATATTCAAAAGAAGAAATGGAAAAATACTAAATTAGGGGAAAAGTAAAAGATTACAATACTAAACATCTCAGCTAACCCTAAATTATCTAATATATGAATTTAAAAAATAGACTTTCTTTTGTCTAAATTCTAAAAATTAATACATGCTATTGCCAAAAATTGAGAAAAAGCAGGCATAAAAAATAAAAATAACAACCTTGACATTTTCGTGGATTTTCTCAATGTTTCATATTTACAGTATTGGAGAGTAAACATGTTTTAGGATGAATGTTTTAAGAATAGGCAAACTACCATCAACTTTATAATTATGAATGTATTACATACATTTCTTCATATATACATGTATGCAAGCAAATACCTGCCATTGATATTATTTCAACAACACTGTTTGAAATGAAATGATATTCGGTTTTGCATATAGCTGAAAATTGTATATCTCATAAATTCTGGACCCTGGACTTAAACATTCCTGCAGGAAACTGGCCACAAAAAAGGCTAATTTCTGATGTGCAGAGCCAGGATAACCTTCTTTCACTTGGAAAGGTAAATGTCATGGTAAGTGTCATGCTGTCTTCAAACTCCCAGCCTGGGAAAATGTCGGAGCAATGCTTCCTAGCGTCCTCTGAACGCCGGTGATCCCTGCCTACCATATTGTGTCCTTTCCCATTTTGTGTGTTCCTGTAGCTTTCTTCCAACATAGAGGAGGGCTCAGACCATGCTGATTCTCTCAGAGTTACAGTCAACTCACACCCATCCTCCTCCTGCAACAGAATATTCTCTAAATGTTAAAAGTGTTACAAGTAGAACCAGATCTCGGCATACTGGTCCCATTCTTGTTTCTGTGATTATACAGAAGGAAGCACAGATTTAGATGTAAATAATTAGGAAGCAAGGGCAGAATTCTCTTAACTAGAGATTCATATGTGGAATTCATAAATCATAATGAATTCACTATTGCCTCGAGGATATGTTTGTAGCTAGAAATAATGTGATTTTTGATTCCTTAATAGGAGAGCCAAGTTGCAGTGAACAAATTGCCTCTCTGTTTAAAATAATGACACAGGGCATTTAAGAAGAATGTTTCCATTTGAGCCTCCATTTAGTTCTTCCCTACCATCCTGTTTTTCTTCCACAGCATTGTTTTGCCAGATGACAGGTGCACTCTACTGTAGTCACCTATCCTAGGAAATTTAGGAAGTCTTGCATTCTACCATATTACTGTTGTGCCCGTGGCATCTGTCATGTGCATTTCTCTTGTACCCTTCTAGACTTTGCATGTGGTGGGGAGGGGGGAGACTGGGTGGGAGAAAGTCATGGATAATAATCTCTATGGTCTATTTTTTTTTTTTTAAACAATCTCCATGGTCTTTAACTCTAAACCTCTATCCACAAAAGTTACCAGCATTCCAAGCCCACCCATATCCACATTTATTTTCTTTGGCCTAAGTGGTTGGTGCAGAGGATATGATGGCTTTCACAGGTCCTAATACTTTTGCCTTCAGGGTCCCCTTTCTCCATAAAAAAAGTTAAAAATCATGTCTTATGACTGTGTTGGTATAAAGACAAATACAATCCAGACTGGATTTATTGTTACACATTTGTTATTCTAACAGTCATTTTGGGGGTTCTGTTTTTAAGAGAGATTGAAATTAAAATATTTTTATGGGCCCTTAAAAGTAGCTTGGGCTCTGTGTACTGTGTCCATAGTGCCTAATGCCTAAATTGATCCTGGGTTGTGTCTTCTCAGCATTCAGTGTGGCATCCCCAGGGCTGTGATCCTGTCCCTGCAGCTGCTCTCTGTCATCCCGGGCTGCTCTATTTTTGGCCCTGGCTCCTTCTACCACCCACACAGCTCCATCCATCATGGCTGCGCCCACCCTTACAGACCCCTTTGGTACTGCTGCTGCTCTCACTATTTTTGTTAGGATTCAGGGAGTCTCCCCTCACACTACTTACAAACCTTACTGGGTGCCTGATCAGTAGCTTTTACTTCAGTAGTCCTTAAAACACACTCAGAAAACCTGGAACATTTAGGCCTGAGGCAGAAGACGTTGGCATGCAAAACTGATGTGATTCTGAAAATGTAATCTCTCCACCAGACGACAAGGTGAAGCACTTTATTCTCTCCTGCCTCAGGGCATCTTCCTGACCATCCAGGAATATTTCTGAAGAAGTTGAGTCAACTTGTGTCTCTACTTTTATTTAAACAACAACAACAACAACAACAACAACAACAACAACCAAAACACCAAAAACAAAACCAAAACCAGCCCTCAATGACCAGAGTCATCAGCTTGGTTCCACAGTATTCCTTGCCAGTTTTTCCAATTTCTGTTCCTCAAGTGAGGAAGAGAATTGCCTGGTACTCCAAATTCCTGAGTTGTGCATGAAGCTTAAGCTTCACCTAGGGACCTGGTTATAATTCTTATTTTACAAGATGTTTTTTGATTGTGTCTCATCAATGAAACTGCCTTGAGTGGGCAGAGGTCATGTTTATTTCTTTTGAGCTGTTTTGCATGATTAGATATAGCAATAGACACTCAAGTTTACTTAATAAATACAAATATTGGATGCTTTTTTCAAATTATTTAAGACACTGCAATCACATAATATGGCCAACTTTGACAGAAGTGAATTCTGAATTAGATAAATCTTAGAGATTTAAATAAATAATAGTTTCAAGCATCTAATAAAAATTCATTAATATTAATAAAGTGTTGCCAAGTAAAGATGCTTAAAATTTGCTTTGAAGGACAGATAAGACTTATTTTTAATTAAAGAGATCCATTTGTCCACAATCTGTCATTTGTTTGCTCTGTTGAGAAGGTTAAACATTTTCTCATCTCACTCTCACTGTGTCCGTGAGGCTTATTTATTAACTCTGTGAGCTTAGCAAGCTTTCTTGTCAAATGGTCAAGGTAATAGCATTCAGTTCTCTTTCATCTATAACTAGTTATGAATTAGTAAAGTTTACTACAGGTTTATTCTGATTGATATAGCTCTAAATTACTTAGAACCTATATTATCTCAATATTGAGCTTCTCTATTATGCACCTACAAGCAACTTTTTCA